CAGGGATTGAACGCGGGTCCTTATGTTAACAAGGCAGGTGGCAGAACTACTGAGATAAATCCCTGGCCCTATTTTATACTCTTATAAGATGCTTTAAATGAGAAAAAAATATAAACATGAGTTCTTAAATACTAGTGTTTTTATTTCTCTGGATTAGTGAATTTGAATTTTCATATATGATTTGCGTGATAAATCTATACTATTACTGGACCAGCATATGAAAAGGGAATTCTGCTGATTAACAAGTTCCACATCAGAGCCAACAGAATGCTATTGTATCCATATCCATGGCTATGTCACTCCTAGCAACCAGAAATATCAACACCATGCTTCTATGGCAATAGCAAATGTTTAAGCTTGTCAGTGTTTGGCACTCAGGGAGAATTCACCACTGCATAGAAATGAAAGGAACCACCTTTGTTCTTTCAGTGTTTTTATAACATGCTAATGCAATGCCAGGAAAATACATTTTATTGTGATTTTTGCATTTTGGTGTTGATGGCTTAAGATATATCCTATGTTGCTTTTGGACCATTTATTTGTTTTATTTTTCAGTAACTTAACTTGTAATTGTCAGTATCTAGTCCTACTGAGCTGTGAGAAAAGAAAAAGAGCTAGAATTTATGGGGACATTTATGGAAATTGAGACCCAGAGAACTCTGATGATGTTCTTACCAGTTTGCAATCCGTATAGTTATGTATATGGTGTTTTGGTTCAGAACTTTTCCATGGAGACCAGTTGAAAATTCTCTGTTGTAATTAATATAAGAAAGTACAATAAAATTGTTTTCTTCCTTGATGACTGTTTTGATGTTTTTTAAAATACCAAAATCTGCAGCAAACATTCTTTCCTTTGTTCTCCTTCTTTGCCTGGAGCTGAGGTGGTAACAGCAGTCCAGCCCACCTCCTCCTGAACTGAGAAGCCATTTGGATCTTGCTGCTGGATGAATTCTGTTGAAATCGTTACCCTCTAGGCACCTCGGAATTCGACTGCACTTGAAGGTCAGGCCTCTGGGATGCAGTCACAGTAGATCGGTTGCTGTGGTGTACCTCCTCCAGAGTCCTAGCGTCTTCAAAAGAAAAGAGCAGGGAACAGGTCCCATAGACTGGAGTGTAGATTGTGAGGGTAAAGGAAGGCAGCAGCTGTTTGCTACCCAAAAAGCTGCCCCAGACGAAGCCAGATTTGCCAGTGCCTTGATCTTGGGCTTCTGGCCTCCAGAATTGAGAGAAAACAAATTTCTATTGTTTAAGCCACTTAGACTGGTTCTTTGTTAGGACATCCTTGCACACTGATTCACTAGGTGAGTCGTGTTGCAGCTTAAGTATTTCTCAGCCTCCTGTTCTGGGTATCAGCGCCAGCTCAGGCCGAACAAGCAGTTCATCCCCACCCAATGCGGGGATCAGGTCTGCTGGCCCACTCCCACTGCTTGCCCTGGTGCCACCTTCTCATCTTCTCCCTTGCACACTTATTCCTAGAAGCCCTGCAGTTGAGACTGCTAATGTATGCTATGCAGGAGGCTCCTGACCTCCATGCACACACATTCAGTTGATGCCGTGGGATGGATCCAACAAATAGATTCCAGGCTCTTGTGTACAAAGAGCAAAAATCTGCAAGTGTACGTTCAGTGATAAAAGCATTTGCATTTGTTGAAGATAAAGGGAAAACTTGCTCAGGACAGGTCTGTGCCAAGAAAAAATGTGGCACAAACAGAAAAATGGTGCTAGGATGACAGAGAAATAGAAAGCACACATAGATAAAATCAATCTTTTGGAATTTTTTTTTTTTTAAAGGAGGAGCCCCAGCCCAGGTGTCTCTCAGTGGGTTTCTATGTAGGATCGGCAGGAATGACTAACATTGTGCTGAGTCATCCTGAGTCGGCGCTTCCTGCAAGTGTGCTTTCCAGAACTCACCCTGCCAAGTGGCCTGGAACTAGGCAGGAAGTTCGGTACTGGGTGTTGCCCAAACTCAATGGGGCAGAGACAAGTGGTCTCCCAGCCCCCTTATGCTTCCTGCACTATTACCGTCAGAGTCCTGGTCCCCCAAAATCTTCAAGGGGTTCTGAGGGAGGAAGATCTGTCTTCCATGGGTATTTTCTGCTCAGTAGGTGCATTGGCCCTACTCCTGGGGAATGAAGGGGTCTCACCCTTTCTGATATAAGCGTTCAAGGGAGATGTTTTTCTTCTCCCAGGATATTTTGATGAACTGTGGACATGGAGGTAGGTTTTGATCTTGGGCTTGAGCCATCACCAGCAGTTTAATGGCTGGTAAACAAGAACAGCCACTAAGGAGTCCATTTAGTTTTGTAAAGATATGATTGATTTAGCTATGTCTTTTAGGCTATCACTGAGATCTTGGGAAATAGTTTGAAAATAAGTGAGGTAGCTATGCCCCTGACTCCAGTTCCCACAAGAGTGGTAATACCTAGACCTATTAGTAGGGATATTAGTTGGACTGCTCGTTGATGTCTAACCTGTGTTTTTATTGGCACTGATAAAGTTTGATTGTTTGGGGCTATATAATGTTAGGGCTAAAATAGACTAGTGTGCAGATTCCAGTCCACTTAGCTGGGAGGCACAGGTAGGCCGAAGTTCCACAAAGGAGACACCTTGACTAGGTAGATAGAATTTGTTGTGTATGTCAAAAAGATGTGTGAGTTTGTTATTTTCTTTTTCCCATATTCCTAGTGTTCCGGCCAACACAGCGCCTGTTAACAGTTGAAAAGGTTTGTAGTGTGAACTTTGTTGGGCATTGTTGGTTTTATTTTCTCATAGGAGGAAGAATCTCTTGGTATCAACCAAAAGCCATTCTGGAGAGTGGTTAAACCTTGGTATAAGAAGGCATTGTGAAACAGAGGGGGCTACATCGCAAGGGGTCCAGGTATGTATAGTCACGCAAGGCATATGACGACCATTGCAAAACCCCGAATTTTTATTGAGAAGACCCTGTGTTATAAGTGTTGGAGCAGCAGTGAAGCAGACAGGCTGAGTAAAGGAAGCCTCTTGGGTGACCCTGTAGTTAGCATGGCCCGATGAAGCCTGTAATTGTAATGTGTAATTGCACTTTTGAGGGGAAGATGTCCCAAAATGGAGCCCATGGACAAGTTACGCTGAAGGCAAAGTGGGGCTTGAAAGTTCAAAATGATGTCAGCAGCTATAGGTCTGAATATAGGATTTTCCTTACTCTCATAGAGAAAGGTTAGCGATGTAAGATTGCAGGAGATGGGCTACACAATCTGTCTGTGTTCTTTTTGTCATGTCAGTGATGAGAAAGTCAGTGAGGGAGTTTTTATTAAGTAGCTTTAATGGGCCTCCCATCTGATATTGAGGATGGTAAATGAGATTAGTTGAAGCCCAGGTTTTAGGAGGCACAAGGATAGCCATATAAGAAGCAGTGGATAGGGATATGCAGAGCCAACAGATACTAGCTAAAGATGAGTTGGATTGATTTAGTAGGGAGTGGGTTAACCGTAGAGTGTTGTATAGATAGTTTGGCAGTAGCCAGTGTATTAATTGGATAGTGTTGTGTCTCTGGTTTGGGTTAATAGGCAGGGGTGGAGACATGGAAATGGACTGCAGGAGGAGGAGGAAGATAAGAGTGGAGGCTTTGGGGAGAATTGTGGTATTGATCCCACAGTAGATGATGGATGGCGATAAGTCCCTCCAGGAGAAGCAATAGAAGACCAGAGACATTTTTGTGTGTGTGACCAGTCTTGGGGTGAGACAGGAAAAAGCCCAATTGCCCAAACAAAAGATGAGGCTATGTGGAAGGCTAGAAAGGTTGGATGATAGGTTAACATGTGGGTATGTCGTGAAAGTGGAGCGAGGGTAGCGTTAACCAACACAGGAGGAATGTTTGTTTTGTTTGTTTTGGTACCGGGGATCAAACTCCGGTCTTTGCGATTTTGAGGCAGGTGGCAGCACCACTGAGCTAAATCCCCAGCCTGGGAGGAAGAATGTTATCAAGCAAACTTGTCAGGTAAAAAGTCTGAGAGAGTGCCTTGGAAACAGAGGTCTTTCATCCAAAGAAAAATCTCTTTGACCATGTTACTTCGAGGGGCAAATCAATGAAGGTCCTGTTTTAATGCACAGATGAAGTCAGAGAAGCAGAATGGCAGCCAGGGAAGGAACATGAGATCATTACTCTTCAGGGGTGTGAGTGAGCTTGATCTTGGTGGGTCCTGTTAAGAGGGAGGAAAATTTAGGTCTGGCCAGAGACAAGTCAGATGTTGGGGAAGAGATAGGTGAGGGAGGTTGAGGAGGGAAAGGTTTTATCATTGAGAGGTGATACCAAGGAGATTTTTCTGCCAGTTTGACTACAGTGGGAGTGGTCAGGAGAACTGTGTATGGGCCTTCCCATTTTGGTGACAGGCTGCCTTGACTTTAGTAAAACCTGTTGTCCTGGAGAGACAGAGAGGTGTATCTCTTCAGTTGGAAAAGGTTGAGGTAAACGTAGGTTGGTTTGAGTTCTGAGATGGTGTCTAATAAAGTTCAAGGTGGGTATATAATTCCCTAAGTGGGGTGAGGAAGAAGGGAAATTGCCTAGAAGGAAAGGTCTGCCATACATTAACTCAGAATGGGCTGACAGGAGGGATTTTCCAGATGTGGCCTTCATGTGCATGAAGGCGAGAGGCAGTAGTTGAGTCCAGGTAGATGTAGTTCTGGGGATAATTTGGTTAGGTGAGTTTTGAGAAGATGGTTGGCCCTTTCTACTTTACTTGATGATTGGGGATGGTAGGGTATATGTAGGTCCATTGGGTGTGCTGTAAGTCATGTTACCTGTGAAATGAAGGCAGGGCCATTATCTGGCTGTATGGAGGCCAGCAGGCCAGAACGAGGAATGATTTCTTCTACTGAGTATCTGTGTGACCCATTTTGCCTGCTCTGAGGTGGAGGGAAATGCTTCTACCCATCCTGAAAGGGTGTCTACCCTGGTGAGAAGGGATCTATGTTTTTATTGGGGGCATGTGTGTAAAGTCAATTTGCCAATCTTGTCTTGATACATGTCCCCTGGCTTGGTGGGTTAGACATGAGCGAGGGTGAATTCCTCCCTGAGGTAAGGTCATGGAGCAGATAGTGCATTTATTTCCATGTGACCTGTTGAAGTATTGTGGATAGGTATGGATGGAAAAAAATAGGTGTGATAAGTTGTAGGAAAGGATGATATCCCACATGGAGAGTGTTATGGACACCTGTTAGGATGGTCATTGCCTGAGCATTTGGTAAGACTTACTGGCCTTGTATCATCAGCCAAGCATCCCTTATCTCAGCACCCTTACAGAGGAGCTCCTGGTTTTCTACGGGGTCATAGGTTGGGTGTACAGGGGGAATGGCCACTAGTTGTAAATCAGGTGGGGGTTGCTATGCTGCTTTTCTTTCTTTGGCATCTGCCATATTATTTCCTAGTGCTACTGGATCAGTAGAGTTTTGATGTCCCTTACAATGGAGAATAGCTGCCTTTTGTAGGAGTAGGACAGCCTGTAGAAGCAGCTGGATCAAGTATCCATTTGTTATTGGTCCCCTTTTTGTAGTTGTAGTCATGTATCCCCTCTTGCCAGATGGCAGCATGTGAACGGATAATATGGAAGGAATATTTAGAATGTGTGTAGCTGTTGACCCTCTTATCCTTGGCTAAAGTTAAAGCTTGTGTTAAGGCAATGAGTTCTGCCTTCTGTGAGGTGGTATTGTTGGGAAGAGGTTGTGCCTCATTAACATTTGTGGGGCTAACTGTAGCATAGCAGCCTGATATAGGCCCTTAGAGAGGGGTGTTGAGCTACCATCTATGAACCATATATAATCTGGGTTTGATAGAGGTGAGACTGAGATGTGAAGTAGCTTGGATTTGTGAAAATATCTAAGGCCCCAGCCCAGGAATGTTTAAGATGAGAATTAGGAAGTAGAACAAGAGCCAGATTTAAAGGTGAACAGGGTTGAAATGAAAAGTTTGAGCTCTCTATGAAAACTAGGTGGAATAGCTGTAGGCAAGAAGGAATGAGAGCTGAAGTAGCATGATGGGTGACTAGATCACATAGGTGATGGGAGATTTCATAACCATATCTTGGCCAAGTGTGACTTTTGAGCTTTCTTGGGTGATAGTGGCTGCTGCTGCTAGGGCCCTTAAGTATGGGGGCCATCCCCTGATAGTAGGGTCAAGTTGTTTAGATAGGTTAAGCAACTGAGCAAAGGAAGGACCCATGTCTTGACCAAGAACCCCCACAGCCATATCGCAAGCCTTGGTCACATAAAGAACAAAAGGGATGCTGGGCATGGTGGCACATACCCGTAATCCCAGCACTCAGGAGGCTGAGGCAGGAGGATCGCTGTGAGTTCGAGACCAGCCTGGGCTGCATAGTGAGTTCCAGGTCAGTCTCAACTACATAGTGAGACCCTGTCTCAAAAAAAAAAAACCCAAAAAAAGAAAGAACAAAAGGGAGATCTAGGTTAGAGAGGGAGAGAGCTGGAGCTGAAAGTAAGGCAAATTGAAATGTTTTATATATTTTAGTAATGGATGTTGTTCCTTGGGTTCTCCTTTGGAAGCACCATAGAGAGGTTTGGCCAACACACTAAAATTAGGAATCCATAGATGAAGATAGCCAGCCAAACCCCAAAAGGGCAATATTTCAGCCTTGCTGGATGGAACTGGAAGCTGAGCTATAAGTTGTTCCCTGTCAAGGGTGATTTCTCTGATATGTTCAGTGAGGCAAACCCCCAGGTTAGTAACAGGGGCTTCAGGGAGAGTTGAGCCTTGCTGGGGGACACCAGTATCCCTTTTCTTCTAGGAAATTTAATAGGACACTGGTGTGTGATCAAGAATCCGGAAGGGAGGGGCTGCATAACAGGAGGTCGTCTACATACTGGAGGAGGAGGCTGGGAGAGAGGTTGAAAGAGGAGAGATCAGCTGCTAAAGCTCGTCCAAAGAGGTGGAGCTATCTCAGAAACCCTGTGGGAGGACTGTTCAGGTTAACTGTTGAGAATGATGTTTTTCAGGGTCAGTCCAGGTAAAGGCAAATAGGCCTTGAGATCTCTTATCAAAGGGAATGGTCACAAAGGTATCTTTAGGGTCTAAGGCAGAAGAGTGGAAAGAAGAATACAGGGATTGGGGACGATGGGATGGATAGGCATTACAGCAGGATTAATGGCTCTGAGATCTTGAACAAGTCGATAGGTACTGTTAGGTTTTATTACCAGGAGAATGAGTCTATTATAAGGGGAGTGAGCAGCTCTTAGTACGCGTGCACCCAGAAGTTTTAAGATTGTAGGTTAAAGACCTTTTAAGTGTTTGAGAGCACAGGGCATCGGGGAACATTGGGGAAATTGAGGGATCTTGAAGTCTAATATAGATAGGCTGGTGATGTGTGGTGACTGAGGGACAGGTGATGTTCCCGATGTGTGGGCTAACAAGGTCTGGTGATGCAGGGAGGGCCTTAGTGGGTAGGAACATAGTAGAGGGTGTCCAGGTGTGTTTGAGATCATCAGAGATGTCTGAGGGAGGCATGGAGACAGGGAGAGTGTCTGGAGTGGCCTGGAGAGGAATAAGGAGTTAGGGGCCTGGATGGCTTGTGGCAAATGGAGGGTTATAACTGCTTTAAATTTGGTGAGGATATCTCTTCCCAAGAGAGGAGCAGGACGTTGTGGGAAGACCAGAAACTGGTATGAGAAAGAATGTTATAGAGACTACATAAAGTGGCTGTGCAATTAGAGGTTAAGATACGGCATCTGAGAGCCCAACAATGGTGGTCAAAGCTGGGGAGGTTTGGCCCGAGTATTCAGGCAGCATGGAATAAGTGGCCCCTGTGTCCAATAGAAAAGGGATTGGCTTACCTGAGATGAAAACTGTTGCCCTGGGTTCGTGATTGGTGATCTCTGTGGGTGCCATTGACC